GCCTCTTTGCTTGGTAATATGTTGCAGATCATCTTAGTTGATATTTCATGGGAATTCCGCAAATATGCATTAATGTTCGAATAACTTATCAATTATAAATTTATAATGATAATATTAATCCAGATTTTTAATTTGTATTTTAATTTAAGGGGCAGTCTTAGCTGCGTCTGCTGACAAACAAGAATCAAAGCAATTTTGAATCTTTTAACTTTTAAGTAATCAATTATTAATTAGGATTCGAGTATTTTTCGCTTGATATCAATTTATGTAAATGATAATTCATACATCTGATGATAATTCATACATTTTATCAACAGAGAAGTATAATGTAATTTTGAATCTTTTAATTTTGTAATCAATTAGTAATTAGGGTTCGAATATTTCTCGTTTGATATCAAATTATAAAGATTATAATTCATACATCTGATGATAATTCATGCATTTTATCAACAGACAATAATAAACGTAATTTTGAAACTTTTAACTTTGTAATTAGTCAATTAGTAATTAGTGTTTGAATATTTCTTGTTTACTAATAATTAATATATTTTTATTCATAGATAAGAATAAAAATAATTTTGAATCTTTTAATTCAGTAATCAATTAGTAATTAGGATTTGAATATTTTTTATTTGATGTCAAACAATTGAGATGGTGAATTAAACAAATTTCAAAAATTGAGAAATTAAAACAAGTACGCATATTAATGTAAATAAACATTTCGCACTTACTGTAATATATTCCAGATGCGAAGTTAAATTTATTGAACAGGAATCGCATTCGAAAAAAGTTACCTCTTCAGCTTATGAAATAGTTTTTAAATGCTTTAAGCGAAAGCTTAAGAAAGATTCAAACTATTTTTTGAGTTGTTTCAGTAACAGTCATGCCATCATTTAAAAAAAAAAACCCAGACATCAAATAACACACTAACAAGCAAAATCCAATCTGATAATTTTATAATTAAGAAAATGAATATCTTAGTAGCTTAGCCATGCATGATAATTATGACGCAAGATGGATTAAAGCTCCATGGTAACCGTTATAGAAGAAAATAAAGATAAGATAAATGTGACGAAAGAACATTTCTATCGCGGTGTCAAATGGCGCAATCTAGTTCGTGGAAGTTTAAAAAAACAGCAATTAGCAGGAATAAATACAATGTTTGATGATGAAAACAGCAATTATAAGAAGCTTGTTAGGGGGAAAGCAAAAAAAGGAGGTGGTACAAATTCATAAACAATTTTAAATGACTGAAGATTATTGAAGGAATATTGATTCTAAGATTTTTTTCCGCTTATTTTACTTCTAATGAAATTTGTTTCGCTCTTCTTATTTCAAAGCGTGTCAAATGAAAAAGAAAAAAAAAAGAATTTTCATATAACTCCCAACTCAGTATTTTAGAAAGCATATAAATGCCTTTACGAATATTTAAGATTTCTGGAGTTGACTCTTATTTAGACCTTTTTCTGTAAGTTCAAAATTCGAAACATGTGAGTTGTGTATCCTAAGTGTTTTGCTTCCAATCAGCTCAGAGCTCACCTGTGAATACACTGGCAATTCGAATCCTTACAAACGGACTGGCTCCATCTCTGTCTGTAGTTTTCGAATGCCAATAAGTTGCCTATTCCTCCCCAAAGGCATTCTTCTTCAAGGGCAGATAGCTTGGCTTGCTTTACCTCAATCGTTTTGAGTAACCAATTCACAGGCCTAGAAATATTTATTTCCTACAGGGAAGAAGAAAATCGTAAATTAATAGTAAATTTATTCTTAGTGATAGGACAATATGAAATTTTAGCCATTAAATCTTTCTGTCAGTATTTAAGAAAATATAGAAACGCCTTTCCAAAACTTTTAAAAGATCCTTTAATATTTTATAAACAGTGGTTTTTCTTTGTTTCAGTATACTGTCTAAGGTATGTTCTCCCTACTTTCCGCATGCCTTCGTGGTGTAATTGGAAGCATGCTCGACGCGTATTGGAATGATTTAGCGTTCGAGTTCCAGTGAAGGCACTGCATAATTTTCATCTCTCCTGCATCGATAAACCTAATGAATCTACAAGTGGCGCTCGAACTAGAAGGTGGTGGACGATATTCTCCCATCAGGATTTGGCGATTGGATCCTCTAATCCTCAGTCGCCCTTTAAAGAATGGGAGTATATAAGGTATTTTCTCCCTCCCTTCTGCACGCCTTCCTGGTGTAACGGAAGTACATCCAACGCGTATTCGAGAGGTCCAGAGTTCGAGTCCCTGCGAGGGCACCGCAAATTTTTCACATCTCCTTGCTTCAAAATAATCTAATGACTCTACAAGCTTATACACGAATTCTAGCCGTGCAAAAATTTTGAGTTTTTTAATTGTGTGGTTAATGATGAAGAATATAAAACAAATATATTCATAACAGTCCTTTAATTAGAATTTTAAATGGTTTGTTTTAGTTTTATAGTGGAGTTTCCAAAAAAGGAATTCTTCAACGGGGATCCCAATTATAAAATGGCTGTACGCTGCAGCTCCATATTACCGACTTTATTGAAAGTTCTTCGATGTGAATATCATTCACTTTGAAATCTGAGGAATTCGAAGAGATGAATAATAAAATTTTAAAATGGCGCGGTAATGCAGAAATATTCAGTAACCAATCAGGGAACTGATTACATCATGCATAGAATTGAAATTATTTAAATAATCATTCATAATAAAATCATATTTAAAAAAATGCAAAATTAAATTGTATTTTAATATTTAACAGCTATAAATAATGTTTAAAACGTTAGATCAAATTTATAGATATTAAAACCAATTACTTTTAAAATATTTTGTGACGTCATTCATTACATCATTCACAACATAAAATTCCATAAAATAACATAAACAATAAAATTTTTATTTCAAATAAAAATGCAAAATTAAATTAATTTTTATTATTTTGAAGTCATAAATAATATTTAAAACACGGAATTTATTTATAATAAAACGCATTATTTTTTAAATAAATTGGCAACAAAGTATCGGTTACCATAAACAACTTGCCTAGCAGTGGGTTTACCATAAGTCATATCGCTTGCCAAAAAGAAATCGCCAAAATCCGTGCAACCGTCTACCAAAGTAGCACAGTTTTTTTTAACTAATTAGCGTTAAATTTATTGAAGATTGCAATAGCACAAATAATAATTTATAAAAAAAAATATTTTAAGTTATTATTTTAACACATTTTTGCTCTGATAAACAAGCAGCATGTTACTATTCTTTCATTTCTAAACAAATATTCTGAAAGACATGCAATTTCAGGAAATCGAAATTCTCCAGTTTTGTGAATTTTAATGAGGTTGCGTAAGAAATACGTGGTATAACAGTAATTAAATGCTACATGTTTACCTTTCCTGAAATCCTCTTTTTAAAATTCCGATTTCCTTTCTTAATCATTTTACAAAAGCTTTGTAAATATTCTCTTAACAAGTAAAAATAGCTCCAAGTAAACTATAGTTTCTTCTGCCGTTTGAAATGATTTGACACATCCTTTCGGTAGTATTTAAAAAATACTCACGAAGAGACATATAAGAAGTTTCGTATTTCTTTACCTGAAAGTTTTCATCATTTTCGTTTCTACATGTTGGTTTTCCAAGATTCATAAGTAAATAAGTATTTTCTGTGAAGCAATATCAAATAAATATAAAGTATCAGCAAAACTTAAATCTGGTAATATGAAGTTATAATATAAAGTTTTTTAAAACTTCTATTTATGGCTTTACAATCGAATGACTTATTTGCTTTATTATGTGTGAAAATGAGCAATTTTCGAAGAAATTTATGAAAATTTTGTTCAAATTCTAAGCATAAAATAGACCAAGACACAAGTAAATATTATATAAAAATCTATTCACTTAAATGTCTTTAAATTATATAATTATTAATCAATCTCATATACAAGTAAACGTTCAGTCATTAAGTCATTCTTATAGTTTTTATTATGTATTTAAATTAGCTTCTTTCTAAATGTAGCGAGCAATTTTTGATTTTAGAAAAATCTAACTAATTTAGAATATAATATGTAGTGAATATAAGAGACTTATTTGAAGTACGTTCTGTGTCTGATTGCTTTACCGAAGAGTCCTGATTCGAATCCCAGAAAAGGCATAGATATCTGTAAGCGTATCGTGTCTAGGGAGTGCTCAAAATACACGGCAAGCTGGAATACACGGAAATCCTATCAAGGATATCGATTTCTGCTTGGGAATCTAGGTTTTTGTGGATCGTCGTTTTTCAGAATCAAAACTCAAAAATACCACTTGATATTTACACGTTGATCTTTATTTACTCGCATGTCACAGAGTAATGCATCAAAATGAAATATTTACGATAGGATCCTTTATTTACCCATATATCGCAAATTACGACACCAGAAAAACATATTTTTGGCTATATACATATCAGTGAAACTAAACTAAACTAATTTTTATCTCAGTCTCAAATTCTATTCTTTTTAAACTAAATATCGCGAGAGCTTGAACATGCTTTGCTCATGAGATTATAACAAAAATGAAATAATATTCCTTTATTCTTGCAATTTTTCTTGAGAAATAGCAACATTGTAAAATACTGCCAGGATGTTTAAAGACTTTCTTTTTATGCTTTTATCTGCGTTTTTCTTTTAGCTCAAAAGTTCTCACAGAAGGGGTTTGCTGATAGGAGTAACCTCACAAAGGGGTTGATGGTAGAGGATAAGGGTCACAAAGGGGGTTGATGGTAGAGGACGTTGAACTGCTCCTCGGGGTGTTCTCGCTTAAATCTGGGGCGGAAGCTTAGATTCAGCAATACCTCAGTCACCTGTGGTATTTATTACAGAGATGCTGGTTTAACTTCTATCAGTACCTACGTATGTTCTGCATGCTTTGGAAATGCTTGGAAATTTTAAACTCCTTCTCTGACAATACGTTTCCTCCATAGCGCATATTTTAATATTTTTATCATGCTTGATGACATACAATGTTTCATTTTTCCCACAGTTTGGTCTTTCGGATGGTAGAATCTGAAGAGGAATACGTGGAACAGCTACAGTTGATGGTTTCCTGCTTCCTGAGGCCGTTCAAGATGGCTGCCAGCTCACAGAAACCTCCTTGTACACACGACGAAGTTAACTCCATTTTCCTCAATAGGTACTCCAGTTCAGTTATGGTTTAATTTCTTAATATTCTTTTGTACACACAAAGCAGTTTCTATGCTTTAATACGAAATAGCAGTATGAACACAGCAGACATTATTCCAGTAATTCAAAAATCGTTTTACCATAACACTGCCAAATTTATTTTAAACATTAACCATCATTAAGTTGTTAGAAAGATATTTAATCGATAATCAACTTTAGTCGAAAGCTTTGAAAACTAATTTCAGTGGATTTTATTTTTATTTTTATTCTGAGTTCTGCAATGTTTCTTTCATTTATAATAAGTAAACTTTCTTTTTTAATTACTCTTCTGAAAGAAAGACAAAAACAGAGAGGACCATGAAGCTGGATTATTATGTGAATATTGTCAACCAGAAATTTTTCTGGTCGCATAAATAACGCTGTTTCATTCCAGAAATCGAGTCTCTCATGTTCTAGCAAACAATATTATGATGCAAATAAAAAATCTGAGAGATAGTAAAATTGTTCTTGTATGCAAGGAAACTTCTATAACAATACGCTTGGTAACAAACCATTTCTATAATTACTAGAGCATTCTCAATAAATATTTTGTTCCTGCTGTTTAAAGTATATTTTTCCCAATTAATCTTTCAAAGTTCAAGTTTTTGTACCACTTTCGTATAATACAAAGACAGCAAAGTGTTGAAAGATTTATTCGAGATACGAGAAATTTATCCTTTTAGGCCCTCCTATAAATACACTTATAAAAGATCTTCACGTGGATATATATTCCTAAGCTCTTGGAGACATAAACTTAAGTGTTTAACGTAATTTTGCTTTTCACAATCTGTGATCAGCGGACCACAGATAGTTCTAGGAGCTTGTCCTTGTGGTCTTCATAGATCTCCAAAAGAGACAAAAATGAAATTCAAATTCATTGCACATACCATATGATAGCTGAAAATCTTAGTGATTGGAAATTACACATGGCAATCAAAAATCACTTGAAATCTTCAAGCTTATAGAAATTTATATATTAATTACATGTTAACTAGAAATTAAAATATGTGTCTCAAAATTAATATCAGTAATAAAATAAAATAATAATAATAAAATTAAGTTATAGTAATAAAATTAAGTATAACTGTCTTTTATCACATTTTTTGCTATCAAAACATCCTCTCCAGTCTTAGTTAAAATTTTGTATTAAATATACAAATCGCTATTGTAATGCATATCAGAATAATTGCGTGTCGTTCTTTGGCAAGTTCTCTGAAAAGCGCAATCGTTTCACACTCAATTTTTTTTTAATCTTCAGTAACTCATTATTAACTCACATCTTTCAAACGTCAATGTAATTTTATTTTTAAATTTACAAAGCTGATAAATTACAAAGCATAAAATAAATTTGAAATAATAGTTTTCCTTGGCATCGGAACGGCTGTGATTTTTACCATAAAAGCACCTTGTTTTATTGACAGTAATTGAAGACGTTCAGCAGTATGATGCTTTGCATGCGATGGTCGCTTTATGCCATTTCATATGCCTACAGAAAATTTGCACGCAAGTTGTAAATGTTTCCACTCAAAAATAAAAGTTTATGTAGCTTTATTTCTTTTAAATTCTATTTGATGCATGTATATGAAATCTATAACACAAAAGCCGTATTTTCTGATAAGAAGTATATAATGATATTTTAGCATCAGGGCAGCAGAATTATAAATAAAAGGAAGACGGTTATATTTAAAAAAATTTTTTTCGAGCATATTAAGCTAACAAACTTATCCTTCTGTTTTATTCAAAGATGTTTTAATTTTTTATTTTTAAATAGGGGTTCCATATTTTCAAAAGTTCTCATTTCTTCAAATTTTCCTTTAATAAATGGATATTTTTAATCTCACAAATTATTGTGCATAGTGAATTTTTCATATACCACTGTAGGATTCTCCACTGTGTAATTCTAAGTTACAGTTAAAAGTGAAGAATCTTAAGAACTAGTAAGCGAAACATCGCTTGAGTCCGTGTGACAGGTAGAGGGGTAAAATAACCTTTTATTATTCCAATCAAGATTTAACAGAACTCCGTTTTGGAGTTGTACAATTAAGCCGATACTTGGGCTTCAACATAAAAGACTAAGAATTAAACTAAACTAATCTTAACTAGAGAGATATAGCCGAAGCTATCAAAATGCTAACAGAGTTGGCCCCTTAAACCTTTCCGGCACGCTACCTTTTAAAGTTGGAGTTTTGATTTAAAAAAAAGGTAGGCAGTCTAATTAGGCCCAGAGGAGTACACAAGTAAAATTTTGTGAAGATAGCACTTATCTTTTAATTCTGTGGGTGTGCCCAAAGTGGGCACACTGGTTGAATAGAGCTTCGAAAAGAGTGCTGAAACGCGCATTGTTGTCAATGAACTGACCACCGATGAGATGCTGAGAAACAAAGAATACAGACTCTCAGTTGTCCTAGATTATCGGTGAGCCCAGTCTGGGCACACTTAGGGTTTGCTGTTTGATTTTAGCCAAGATTTCAGGGTAAAAATTTAAAACTAATATACAATAAAGAGATTAGCATGCAGCCAAAAAAATATCATAGAAATTTCTTTTTAAGCAATTCTTTTTATACCCTAAAAAAATCTGGAAATTTTTTTGAAAAATGAGGGTCTTGAAAAACTAAACATGGCTAAAATATATGGACTGGTTTGTGTTGAGCTGCCATCTACTATAAATAAAGAAGGTTCAGAGTAACCTATAAATCCTTTTTCATTCAATTTTTCTGTACGTACAGAATGAAATTTTTAGGTGTGCCCATACCGGACACACTGTGCCGCAAAGGGTTAACGCTAATTGACTGCGAAGCTATTAAGGGCCTAAAGTACGGCCGAGCGTAATAATAGCTTACGAGAGAGTAGCCTAATAAAAAGGCGGACGCGTGAAGCCAGAATATATTGTATCTCTCTCTCTCTCTGAGACTGTAGAACTTCGAAGTTATACACCGCTCTTCCTCATTAACATTCAGACGTGATTCTAAAACTATGTTCTGGCCATAAGTGGTAAGTTGAAATTAAGAATCGAAAGGAAAGGAAGTTTAACTCATATTTTAACTGTTAATAAAATTAACATAATTCTTACACCATGACCATTTTACACATTTTTATCACAAGCACCGTCTTTAAGAAATTAGCGTTTCGTAATCAATAAGGAATTAAATCATTTTCGTTACATTTAAGAAGTTTCTAGGCTTCACAGTCCTTAGAAAGTAGGTCTAGGTCTACTAAAATTGTCAAATAGTGATACACGTATTCATGGTTGAAAGTTTCCATTAAAAATTGAATTTCATGATTGAAAACTTCTTGAAAGTTTCCATTGTTGTCTCCATATTTAAGATATAAGCAATGAATTTTCTGATCCATAACTTCCTTAATAGAAAGCTGCCATTTGTTTCAAAACAATTAATTGTTCATATAATAAAAATGACATCATTAATACAGATAGTAGCTTCATCCAGTCAAATGTTTTTTCACGATCATTGAATTCAATTATCTCATCAGCATAAAAAATTATATAATCTGACTTTTTAAAATTTGACCAGCTTAAGAAATGATACAATCTGACTACTTTTAAAACTTAAAAAAGTATTTATTACTTACTTTTAAAACAAAGGGGAAATTTGCCAAGAAGGGCTATTAATTTCGTTCTGGCATTTTATTCGTCCACTGTAAAATTGTGTTTCACATTTTAAATTAATGCCCCCAAATATTACAGCCCTACATTGTATTTAAAGAAATTAAATAGTGTGAATCCATATGATTGTATATATATTTTTGCACTGTGAAAAAAATGCTACCTAGAGACATCAAATTTTGAATAACGTAGTCCTCCACTCGAATATGGGCACATGGAACCCCAAATTTGGAATTTGTTTTATTATCTATTTCATATTTGGTAAACCTTTAACGAATTTTTGATTAATAAACTCAACGATTTCAGAGCGGGCAATGGCAACACTGTAGGAAAAAACGCGCGAGACTGTGTATCGGAAATTCTAAAGATATGCTCGTTTTAAATATTTTGTGATATTGCTGTTGAATTAAATTTTATGTTGTTTAAGTGCGAAGAACATGATATTTAATAAATAAAGGTAACGCACAAAACGTTAAAAAACGCCCCTTTACGCGCAATGTAAAATTTGAAAGCTTTCAGAATGTTTTTATTTATTATTTGATTGCTTTATCTTTTATATAGCATCTTAAAAATACTCCAAATTATCAGGCACTGCATGCTTATTAGGACCCAGTGTTTTATTCCGTTTCTTTTATATTTATCTTCTTCTTTGCATTACTTTCTTAGTTTTTCCTTTTTATTGATGACTAGCATTCTAAATTACATGCAAATGTTTCCCTTTTTCTCATTGCATTCTTTGGAATTTACTACTCATTTACTCCTTACAACCAACAAAGAATCCGCAATTCGTTGGTTAACATTTTATGTGAAAAATTGCAATGTATAAAATCGCTGTGGCCTAACTAAAAATAGCCGAAACAAATAATTCGTAGATATTCATCTTTTGGCATGCACAGCAAACTTTCGTTTTCCTACACAAATATTTTAGTTTCTTATTATTAGACACCACCGCAAGAATAGAAGAGATACACATGTAGCTTCTGGTAACAAATTTCACTCCTATTCTCTATTAACGGAAACAAACAAGCCCTCTCACTACAAGTGATGTACATAATGGCCCTCATTTCTCCTCAGGGACAGAAGAGGATTGTTATTCCACGCTATCTGGTGATTTGGAAAATTCTGGCTTATTTCTATATTTAGTCTTCCAAGCATACTTAGGCTTGAAAAGAGGCTTTGCACGCAGTTCAATTTTATATTGCGTATCAAAATTATCTATATACACGGTTTGAAATAATAGATTATATTTATTTTTAAAAGCACATATTTAAGCTTTTAATACGAAACACACAGTAAAATTTATCTTCATTTCTAAAAGTATTCACCTTTACTAGAAAAATATCGTAAAGCATTAACTGTAAAAAGCTTTTTAAATTGTAGAAAATTCTAGGTAGCACTATAAAATTTATTACATCACTTTAGGCGCTTGTGTCTGATTTTTGACAATAAAAGAAAGTAAATTTATGCATATATGTGCGTGTATATGTATTGAGATATATGGGAACTCTGTATACATATATATATATATACAGAGTTTATATATATATGTGATGTACCAGCTTTTGTCGTAGCTTAAATTATCAGACGATAAGTTTTAAAAAACAGGATCCATTTATTATATTTCAGGAGAAAATAGCAGTTACAAAATCAGATATCCGGAGTAAATAAAAAGAATTACTAATCACTTTTTGTATGAAGTTTACTGCATCGTGACATTAAAGAAAAGCCCCGATATTCTTTTGCGAGTCCTTTTATAGCCTCTGGAAAGGCGGAGCTTCCAAGAAATGACGTCAACCTCGTCAGCCAATCCAGTTCGCTTTAAATATTTCCAGAACATTCTATAACTGTACGTGTAGAAAAGGCGGGAAAAACAACTTGACTACGGGGCTGTGGATTTAATTCCACGTACTTTCAAATAAGAGAACGTCGCCATTAAAAATGAAAAGAACATACAGTTAGAATTTTAAGTGTACTCTTGATTATGGAATTTTATTATTAAAAATATTCCCCCCATCTGAAAAGGCTTGAAGCCGGGCGCCTCGACCACAAGACATTCCAGATAGAAAAAATATTATATATATATATAATATATATATTTCTCTTTTTCCCTACTACGAAACTTAGAAGGAGGAAATTAAGTGGTATACACGTTTTCTGAAAAAAAAAATATATTAGAGTGATATCATGTGGGCTTTTTAACATAGTAATTAAAAAGCCCACATGATGCCACTCTAATGCATTATATTATTCAGAGGACTTATTAATTTGAATAATTTCCATTTTACTTATACAAAATACTTTTTTAAATAGCATGCAGAGAAAAGCTAAAGAATATATATATGTGTGTGTTTATATAAATTTATATACATACATATATGTTATATATATATATATGTGTGGAGTCCATGTGTGAGCGGCATAAGTTAAATCTATGGGGCTTCTTGATCACAAAAACATTTTAATGGAACTGAACACACAGCAAATACACATACCACACACAAAATACAAAATACTAATTACTAATAGAAAACTGCTGACATCTTACATCTAGCTTTGAATTTTAATTCTTGTTGCCAACTCTAAGAAAGCATCCCTAATAACTATAATCAAACTATATATTTTTCTGATTTATTGTTAAGCCGATTATTTAACTTTTGGTCAATTTCTACATATATGTATATATATTTATATTCTAATAATAATTTATTTCCTAAACAATATTGATTAATTGATTATATTATCTCCTAAGTTTAATTAAAGTAGAAATATTTAAGATCATACCACATTATATATTTATATTTATATACTCGAATATATATGTCGTATATAGAGAGAAAACGAGATAAAGGAATGAAAATGATAAAAAAATGTACCAAATATGGTAAGCTGTTTAACAAGATGAAATTACAAAAAAAGAAACAGCACGAAGTAATAAATGTCGAAATCAAATATCAGGCAGAAACAAATTAAAATTACAAAGTGGAAAGAAGTCAAGAAGAAGCCAAAAGAATCATCAACATAGATATATTTTTAAAATTTATTTGGTCGAATTAGAGAATGAATTGTAACCAAACAATTAAACTGGAAATTAATTTTTAATTTTCATTTTTCATTAAAAAATTGAAAATTAAGAAAAGTTGCTAAAAAACATTCATCAGGATATGATATGTCTCGACTTAAAAGAAAATGTATATTATAATTTCATTACACAATAAAATGTAATATTGCTGAAAACAAGACAACTAATTTTAAATTTGAACAAAAGTCAAAATAGTTTCCGAAATTTTAATGGAAACCACGATTTATCTATTATGGAGTATAAATAAATAAAGAGTAACTTGGGGTACCAAATTAGTAAGAGATAGGTAGTTAATATTTTATTTTAGAAATTTCAATCGACTTTTAAAAATTTCTAAAAAAATTTCTATCAAATTTTCTAAAAAATTAAAATTATTAAAATCAAAATTTTAATAATTTTAATTTTACAACGATTTATCTATTATGAAGTATAAATAAATAAAGAGTAACGTGGGGTACTAAGTTAGTAAAAGATAGGTAGTTAATAATTTGGTTTCGTTTCCTTAAACTTTAAAGCTAATAACATTTATTTTACCAAAGTTATTTAGCGATTTTACCACATTTTTCAGTTTTGCATTTATTATAATTGAATATTAATTTACCGACTTCTTTCATCTTGCCCATTTGCTTTCCTTGTATCTAATTTAAAGTATTTTAATTTTACATTATTTAATTTTTATGCATTATTACTTGTTTAGGTCATTCTGGAGCAGCTTAAATCTTGATACCCAATTAAAAAAAATTTAAGAAATTTCAAATTTTATTTATAGCATTCTTTATTTATATTATGAGAAAATGCGTTATTGTTTTAAATTAATTTAAATCTGTTTTTTATTTGCGCTTACTTTTTAATATATTCATGAATTTGTTTTATAGTTATCCAGGTATCTAATTTAGAAACTTGGGTTTGTTGCAATCCGTTGGCTTCTTCTTGATAAAGACCACAGGATTTAAATTATTTGTTATATTACTATAATATTATTTTGATGAGTTTTTTTTTGTTTTTGTTTTTATTTCAATTTTGGTTTAAGTTTTTCCTGTTAGCCACCAATTTTTAATTTAATTATTATTTTTTCTTTGATTATTACTTCATTATATTATACATTTCTGAAAGTAGTATAACTCCATTGTCGAAAGGCAGATAAATGAATTTGAAATATATTTTATTTAGCTGTCTCTTTTTACTTTCTTGTACAAAGTAAAGGAATTATTGTAGTCGCGAAAAATTTCGGCGTCATATTTCAACGAAAATAACCATTTCGACCGCTACTGAATGCAATTTAACGATGTTTTTCCGTGACATCTCTACGTAAGAACAGAATAAAGGACTCCTTTTCCCAAAAAAAGGAGTTTTTCCGAAGAGATTTTTTTCCTGACGTCTGTACGTCTGTACGTACACGTACGTACGTATGTATGCATGTATGTATCTCTCATAACTCAAACCCGAGTAGCCTCAGGACGTTGAAATTTTATATATAGGATTTTATAGCATGTAGCATGTTTTTTGGTTGCAATCGGCCTCACCAAAAGTGTATATATGTATATATACCCATTCTGTTACTCGGCTCCGTGAGCACAGTTCTTTTACATTCTTATCTATTGGTAAATTGCGCCTTTTTTGCTTTAAAAATGATTTAATTATTTTGTTCCTATCTTTCGGTTAATGTTTCAATTCTTTAGTTAATCTGCATGCAATAGTTGTAGAATTATCAACAATTTAAATGTTGCTCAAATGCGGCTAAGCCTAATTTTTTCACCATAGCAGTCATATTTGTTTATATTTTAAACTTAGCAGAATAGTGGATTATGTTAGTTTCTGTATCTTCGTTGTCTTTTTGCAGAGCGGGATCAAAAGAAAATTTTCAGTTTTGCGCACCGACAAATCTGCCTTCTTTCCCGCAGGCCGAATTGATTATTTTTGCGTAGAAAGTCTAATTTGAATTGCAAAGATTGTTTTTTTAATTGGTTTAACTGTATTTAACTTTGAAGTCATGTAATGTTTTATACGAAAATTCTGACCATCCTAATCAGTAAGGAAATTTAATGTATTTTGACGTTTCTATTTTGCAGCGAAACTGTGATGTTTCTGCATCAGATTTTCATCAAAGGGCTAACAGCGAGGATGGAGAGCTGGCCGACCTTAGTTTTAGGTGAGTAATTCACCTAAGTCGAAATATTTTATTTACCCCACCATATGTATTGCATAAGGATTTTGCCTTTTTAATTACATTAGTGAACAACATTACAACTGTTCTAAATGTCGGTGTTTGTTGGATAAGTTGCTAGAATTAGAAAGTCTTCACATTATGTTATTTTTTATCTACAGTTCCAACACAGAGTTAATAGAAATGTTCCTTTTCATTTATATTCCATTCACACATATGTTCTTTCCTTTAAGAACAGTTTTAGCCAAAAGATATATTTTTAATTAACGAAGATACAGAAACGAATATTAAAATTTGCATACTTCGTGCTCCCCCCTTTAATTTTCTTGTCATTTTCCAATGTCATTTCTTTTTTTCATTTATTAAATATAAATAAAAATATATTTAAATTTCAAACATCCCCAGATCAAATGGAAGCAAATTCTCATATTCACAATTTTCTTAGAGAGAATTTTATACTGAACTAATATGCCTCATAAATTAATTACTTTATATGTATCCTCATAAGTTAATTACATTATAAACATGCGAATGTTAACGACATCATAAACTTTTCTAAAGATTGCTAACAGAAGATTATTAGGTATTATGATTTAAAGACTCAAATTAAAATTGTCTTTATGTAATATACAATCTTACCTGCTTTGGCGAAAACCTCATCTTTATGCCCAACAATTTTAGAGATCTAATTTGTGTTTCTTTTTTTCATTCTTTGTGATTTGAAGAAGCAATATTCAAACATGATAGTTACACAAATTTATTACGACCCTTGCAATTAATTATAATTCCTTTTAATCCTTTAAATAAAGTTGCTTTTAAAAGTAAATCTTTACTTTTTTAAATTATATTTAAAAATTAAACAAAACAAACTCCTACAACTATGAAATTTTTGCATTTCATTCCTCAAAGCTAAAATGGAATGTAAAATATAGGAAAGTCTGAAAATGGTTTTTAAACATTGTTCAAATTTTTAAACATTTAAAAAACTTCATTTACTATTAATTTATATTTGTCAAAAAATATGATTGCAGTATATATACCATAAGAAATAAATAATAATATTTACTTCAATAAAATGAATTTTAGACGCATTATATTATATGAATTATTATATTATATGAATTTTAGACGCATATTATCATAATATTTAGGGATATTTACCTCTATTAGTCTTCAAAATTTTTTCCAGTGCTAAGATTACAGAATCAGATGAAGAAGTTTCTGAAATATGAACCTCAGGAATGTACAAATTGCGTTTCACATAGCATTGCGTTCAGCATTTTGTGTATTTGCATAACAATAAGAAGAAGAGTATATTATTGGCAAATGCATGAAAGGAGTACCGCTTGTGGTCCTCCTACCACTCATTAGTAATGTTAACAAATATTTATTGGTTCTTATTCTTATATTTTAATTATGATGCAAAATTTGCCTTTCTTAAATACATTTTTACCAGCATTTATTACAGTTATTACATTTAATATATTTTATCTATTTAGACATTTGTGGGCAAATAAATTATTACTGCAAATCCAATTACTTAAAATTGCTTTTCACTCGTAAGTAACAGCAAGAACTTGAAAGTAATTGCCAAAATTCATTATCGAATTATTGGTTTTTGCATAAATGACGTCTTACATTTTTGTTTTTATTTCACTATGCATTTCAAGAGGAAAGAGCACATGATCCATTTTCTTGAAACAGCAAAAAAATGCTGGTAACCAAAATTTTTTATGCTTGCACAAAATGGTCTTTTAAAACCTGTTTAATGAAACAATAAATTTATTTGAAGTGATACATAACATCATTAAATATAAATAGCTAATTAAAGAAAGCTTAACTGAATACTAATGATACACAATTGTACTATGAAATAAACAATATTGAAATAACATGGATCAAATTTAAAATAAAAAGGAATGAAAACTTCTGTCATTATTATAAAATGAGATTTCTCATATTTTGTGCAGATATATTACAATGTAATTTCAAACACTCATTGTAGGGAATAATTTAAGGTAGTGTAAGTTACGCCCTCCTCAGAAATGATTTTCAAGCCATTCGTTTATCTAAAAGACGAATTTCAACGTGCAACAACAGCTTCGTAGTTTCTTTAAGTGTTCCGAAAATTTTTCTATTGGATTGAAATCGGGACATTTGGCTGATATGTTTCTTCACTCAAAACCTTCGGTTTCAAGAATAAAATCAGCCAGCCTTGCTTGATTTGAATATGCGTTATCATATGTAAACAGAAAACCAGATACTTAAGCTTTGTTTCGATATTTTTGCAGACACAGCTCCTCTGTTACATCCTATGCAAAGAGATATATCCACTGATCACCATTCCTTTCTTACATCACATCAGCAAAACCTTAAGTATCACATCTTCTAATACTGATGGGATTATTATATAGTTCTGATATAAAACTTATTCACCCCCAGCTGGCGAAAATATTACATGCGCTTAGAATAAGATAATAAATTGAATCTTGGTTCATCACTAAAGAACATACTGGCCTTTTATTGCAGAATCTAGCTTCGATAATATCTGAAACCATTTTTCGTTTCCTTTCTTTTACCCTGATGTTAAAATCATAAGCCAAGCGCAAATTATTAATATTCTGCCATAAAGACTTTTTTCTTTATGCGTCTTGCATACAGTCTGCGGATATGCAAACTTTTCTGTAGGAACCTGCAAACTCTAAGCTCAACTGCCTAGCAGTCAAATTCCTGTTACCTTATGCAATCAGTAATAATAGTGATCTTGAAAAGCATTGGTTTCTCGTCTACGATCTTATCCTATTTTCCTAACAGAAATATCAAAAATTCTGGAAGGCACAGACAGTCAGCTTAAAACAAACAGCTGTATTACACTTCCATAGTTTATTGTCTTACTTCCAATAGGGCGAGAATCTAAGATTCTTTTTAACGATTAATGCTAATGATCCATAAAAAGCTGTTTTCGATAAAGATTAAAATTAAATCTCGAATCACCACAGTTTTGGAATATTCCTTCAAACTTTACCATGGTTTGAAAGAAGCTTTCCGCTACCTTTCCAACTGCTGCATTCTCCATAATTCACACTTCGATCAACCAATCAGTTTAGGGCATTTGTCTTACTTAGCTATTCAACTTCTCGCTCTCTTAGAGCTAGTTACTTCGAAACACAAATGAAGACATCCGCATTATTATATCAGATAGCACTCGCTATAAGACATACAATGCTATCATTGATATTGCGAATATAATAACTTATTACTATTATTACAGGACTTTAATCTTTTTAATAAATAAGTGTTCGAAAATCACCAAATATTACACTGGAATACGCAAAAAGTCTAGAAACCCATAACACGGCCTTGTTATTTCAACGGATATAAACTCAAATTTGGAAGTTCAAGAGAAGAGTTGTTTTGTGTAAAGTACTTGGTTCATCTTTGAATGAAGTTAAGCCATTATTTGCCTACAAACAAATTAATTTAAATGCAACTGAATTTGGCTTTTTGTTCACGCACTTTGAAGGAAAAAATTGATTAATTGGTTACCTCACGAAATATTAATATTTATATATATCTGTATAAATAGATAATTCTAGACAGCAGCGTATTTTTGCTCAATTACGTGACGTTTTAAACACGTCGTTTGAAGATGCTTGTATACGACATGAAATTTCATACTCAAGACATCCTTGTGAGCTTATAAATGTAAATGATTATATTTATTCAATCAATAAATCAGTGAGGACGTTTACTATTTTGATACATTATATCAAAAATGTGCACATAATGTCTTAGTTGAATAGAAATGAACTTTTCTTGTTTTATGCGAGTAAATTAATAATTCCTTTTTTTTATTTTATACAGTAAAAAACAAAAACTTTTATTATGTGGTTTTATTTTAGGAGACCTAATAAAAAATTATTCCATGATTTTTAATGCATTGTGCCGTTATGCAAATGGCTTGCGCGTTAAGGCAAATAAAATTAATTTTACGACTTGACTTTATCCTCTGGTAATTTGTGTTGCTTCTTAAATTTGATTACTAATATATCCGTTGGTAATGACCATTGAAAAATGACTTGATTCAGATTGAAAATCATCTTGAATTTGGTTTGCAAAAGAGCTTGAGTTTGTAGGGTTTATATTTATTTTAACTAACATTTATTTTAAGTTTAAACTATCTTTCCTGTCAAGCCTTACTTTTCCCTGGAACTGCCAATGCCAGAGTATGTAAATTTTAGTAGAACGCGCAAGGATTCAAATTATCAGCGGAAGTATTCTGAGTTAAATAGAAAGGAAACGAGTTCGAGATGTGCTATTCTTACTTCACGAGCGCGGAAGTAGTTAGTCAGAAGTTGAAGAACCCCGCGTGTCGGCCTGTGTGCTTGCCTCGGAGAATTGTTAATCGTTCAACGTGATATTCAAAGTTTGCTGAATTAGCAGCGATAGTGTAAAACGCGGTGAGGTTAGTTACGTTTAGAGAGCCTCGTAGTTAGAGTCTTGTTATTATTTCTTTTCAAGTTCTTATTTTTATTTTACCGCCGGGTCGGCGTAGTTTGTGAGCGTCAAGAGCACGCAATTGTAATTTCTTAAGTTGAATAAAAAGGGACTTAAACTCTTCGCAAGACTCTGTCTAATTTCCAATTTCAGCAGTCACCACTTTGTTGCGTGCAGGTTGGAGGCGCGCAACTCTACAAGTTTTCTAACTGAAAATCTAATGTCTATTTTACTATTTAAATTTTTCTCTCTGAAGGTCATATGAAAAATTTTATTTTATCCTTCTAGATCTCTTCCACTCGTACTGCACCAATTGTTTTCGTAAAATTTTCTAATTTATTTTTGGAAATTTTGCATTTAGAAGTCCACAGCTAGTATATTCAAAGAAAATAATGATAAGCTTCCCTTTTTCCAACAATCCCCATGTAGTACATGCTATGATTGATTCCGAAATTCTCTAGGCGTATAAATTCCCTTTTGCTTTACCTGCAGGAAATACTTGAGCATGCTTATGCGTTTCCTTGACATGACTTAAATGCAGTACCAGAAGTGACTAGCAGAGATCCTATATCATATACAGGGTATAACAGTACAGCGGTGACAAACTTTCAAGAGAGAGTACACCTAGACGATGGGAAATCACTTGGCAATGCATGGTCGGAGACGCTTTCCTGGCGCGGTCGTGACGATACAAAACGCAAAGTTCTCTGGCGCATGGAAGATCTGCCTCACGAATGGAAGATCGCATAGGAGACGCCCAAGGTTGTAATTGCGTGTACCTTCTTTGACGATTTTTGCTGTCTCTTTATGTTGTTTTTAATTTTTTTTTCTTGTACTCCGAATAATAAACATGTTTTCTCACCCCGATGGTGTCCTTTCTTTCTTGACTTTTGTGTTGTCCCTGCCGCGCCAGGAAAGCGTTTCCGATCATGCATTCCTAAGGGATTTCCCATCGTCTAGGTGTACTGTATCTCTCCTGAAAGTTTGTTATCGCTGTTCTGATGCACCCTGTATATGTCATAATAACAAGAAGAAGGAAAAGGTTAAACAAATTTTTCAATTTTAAAGATGACTTGTCTGATTCGTTAGGAATCAAACCACAAATCATCCTAATCGTCAGTCCTCTCCTTATTATTTGATCATTTATAATACTAAGCAGTTTTTTTCCTTGAGTAACACAATTTTGTACTATTTATTTAATATTTCTGGCAGTTATTACTTGAATGCTTGCCACTACTGTCGAAAATCTTTTTTCCAATCACGACGAAAATTAAAATAACTTAAATTTGTTTCTCAGCTCAAGGTGGAAAAATAATATAGTATTAAAAGAAACTCTTTCATTTATAAGTGATCTCTTAATATTATTGATAATCTAACTCTTTTCTTTTTATATTATAAAAACTGAGATCTACTTTTCTTGGAAATAAGATATATTTTATGATATGAAATGGGTTTATTCAGGTCTGTACTTGCTTCTAGTGCACTAGACAGAGCTGCTGTACAAGGCATGTCTGGCACAAGCACCAGACGCGAGCACAGTATTTGTATAATCATAAGAACAATTCGATTGGCAAAGTAAACAAAATCTCAAAGGCGGTATTCCATTCACATATAATAAAACTATTATTTTTGGCAGATGATTGATATTAACTATGAGAGACTTATCTGTTTGTCTGACATATGTCCATATTAAATTACATACTTTTATGTGGTAGAACAGGACATGTGGATTATGTGTTGTCAGTTGCTGTGCATGTGAGCTCTTGCTGTAGCAGTGGAGACGTAGAATAGCTTCTTTTGTAGCGAAACTGTTATGGGCTTCATTAGATGAGCATATGTGCAGCTTAGAGCCTGTACTTTTGGCATGTTCGTTCTTCACTGTATTGCAGGTGTACTCAGCAATGGTATGAGGGTAATTAAAATTCATTCACATTTTACTAACGGTTTCTTTAAACTGATTCTGACGTACCAGACATTTAATGCTGGTATATTTTCAATATTTTCTTAAATTTTAAATTCTCTTTTATCTTCTTCTTTGATTTCTGTAGTCTGCCATGCTCTTATAATAATTCTTAGCATCATGGCTCCTGTCACTGTAACATCTGAAGTAAAGCAACTTTCTCTAGAAAAACACTCTTTTAGAACTAGTTTGAATGTACCATTCCTCAGCGCATCATTACAATCGAAGATAGGAAAATGTTCTTGTTTCCAATTCCACGCATCCCATCCTTACCAATTACAATCATTAAGATTGAACACATTCTTTTGCATCTGAGCTGGACACAATTGGCGTCCAATTCAGCCTACTATTTGTACGCGGTAATCTAGTTAATTAGAGAAATAGCATTTGTATTGACAATTGTTTATCTTCACAAGTTATTACTACATTTTTACAAATTGTTGAAAGCAAGTGAGATACATTATCAAGTGATGCTACAGTTGTATATACGGCCGTACCAGAGAGCTATATAATGGAGCAGAGCTTCAAATACATAAGTCTTACAAAATCCAACGCTTAGAAATAATATTGTTTCATAACAGATTTCCATTACACTGACTTACCTTAAAGTCGATGTGTGTAAATCCAAGATATATATTCAGGATTTTATCATATAATGTCATCTGGTCGACTTAATTGCAATAAAAATTCAACATAAAACAGATTTCTATATAAATACATTAGTGTCTGTTGTAATTTCGCTGAAATGATAATTTTTAAAATGTTTACTCATTCTGGATCCCATTTGTAAAAGCCTTTCTTGTATTAATGCAGTAAAAGTATGCAAAAATTCTTTTTCGGATGCTAGAAATATACAAAATTGAAGATGGACCTATGAAAGCATACAAAAATTAGCTACTAATTTTTACAAGCTGATTTCCTCATCAGTTACACATTACATTGTATAATCAAACACCTATAACTCACCTATAAAGAAGGTGCCTACCTCTCTACCTCTCTGATCCGGCCAGAAGGGTTACCATCTGAATACGCAAGGTATTCAAAATCGCTCTCAAATCCTCAATATTACTTGTTTCCTTAATTTCCTCATTTTATACATCCATGTGGAGTGCGTTCTTGCGTATTTTAATATAAGATTAAAAAAACAGAATAGAATGGACTTTAATAAAATTATATTAGTAACCTTGTAGAGACATTAGGTATTTTTTGGAAGCAGGCAAGATGAAAATTATGCAAAGCCTTCGCCGGGAATCGAGCCGCGGACCTCTCAATTACGCGCTGAGCTTGCAGACCACTACACCACGAAGGCTCTCTAACTTATACTTAATCTTATAACTTAAAACATAATTCATATAATTAACTTAGCATATGCTGACTTTAATTTCTTTAACAGCGCTCCTTCTCATCCCTATTTCAAGAAAATCTGGTATGATTTATCAGGCTTTTTGCAGCAGAAATTAAATCTTCGCCAGGATAGAAATTAAAATTACGGATCTTCCTGTGCCAGCTAGATACTTACAACAAGAGAACATAAACATTATAATGCAATAACTTCTTACATTTTATTAAACTTAAATGGAGACTAGTGAAAAACATAAAATCCTGTCGACTAAAACTTGATGCGATAATTCCTTATATGTTATTAAACTTAAAATGAGACCAGGGATAAACACATCCAGTCGACTAAAACTTAATGGTGATGAATTATCATCTACAAAACTTTAGGGCACTGCTATAGAGATGTTGAGGATTTCCGCAACAAGAATGTGAAAACCCAGCTATGATTTTGCATGGATTTGTACCACAGCTCTTTCAACATTTGCTGCACGTGCTAGCATTAGAAAATTTTAGTTCATACAACACAAGTTTCTTATATCATAAGTAGTTCTTCCAGCAAGATAAATGCATGAAGTGGGGGTGGAGAATGCGAAAAATCTTCAACAATTCATCTTTTGATATTTTTACTCAATCGCATTTTATCATTGCTTTGTTCTTGTCGCATTCTTTTATAAGAATCTATCACTCGAATTCCTCAATAAAGAATTTTCAGGCTGTAACTTGAACTATTTTAGTCATTTAAATGTTGTTCGTTTTGCTTCTTTTTAAAAAATTCTTTTCCTAGTTGTCCTATTGCTGGTCCAAAATATCCAGTTTAAACTCAAAGAGCTCGATAATCTAACCATTCTTTTTTGTGGTAGCTTACATGTTTGTATCCCATTTCAAACAATCATTTTTAGTCCATAAACAGAAAATAACGCAAACAGTGTTCTAATACTGAGTACTCCTGCAACAGTATCTGGCTCATTTAGTGCATGATGGCTCGCAAGTAGATGTATATGATTCCGATTACCTTAACTTAGTGCCCTCGCTGCCCTTTGCCCCAGGAGATCTGTTCGACATGTTGCTGCCCATGCTGACCATCTATCAGGAGTACGTGAGAAATCACCACTACAGTCTACAGGTCCTGGCAGAATGCAAGCAGAGGGAAAAGTTCGTCGCCATCCTTCGACGATTGGAAGAAAAGTCAAGCCTTCAAGGAAGAACTCTTGAAACCTTTCTCACTTATCCAATGCATCAGGTAAACTCTATGCTTATTTCAATATTTCTTACTATAATGCAGATTATTAATAACTAAATGCTGGTGTCTTATTTTTAACCCTCTGTTATGGACTTTGTGGATATAGTATATGAAATTTATAATTTGTTTGCATTTGTTCATAGATTGTGAATGACCCAAGGAAAAATTAAATAAAATAAAAACAGAAACAGCGGGAATTTAATGTTAATTCACATATTAATCACACGTCATGTTTGAAAATAAGTTATTGCTCATTATGTGTAGCATCCGGATTTGTAGCAAAAATACTACAGCCCTTGTTCTTTGCATAGTAGGTAAGCAGCACATTGAAAGCTCTTATTCCGTATGTTTCCAAACTGTTGGAAAATTTTATAATTAATATAAAAGGTATTTAAAACCTTTCAAGAAAAGTAAATTACCTGAAACAAGGAATTTCTTCCTTTGCAAAACGAGAAGGTTTTCCAGAATTAGTTTTCTAAGAGCTAACTGGAGATTCTACTTTTTGAGCTTTTATATTGCACAAGCCCGAAATATTAGAATTTTTTCTTCCTTTTCTTTATATCATTTGACATAAGAGCTGACTTCTGAAGATGTTAGTTACCATGCACAATATTTAATGAATGTAAGCGTTTTGGGTTCACTGTTCATATGGAAATCATAACAAAGGTTTTCCTTTTTGAAACGATGATTTGGAGTTAAAGTAACAAACTTTTACAAGCGAAATGGTAATTTAGGCTGAAATAGTATTCGCAAAACACTTAAGAACAATATCTCCTTGTTATACTACAATTCGATGTACTGCAACTTTCAATGATATCAGAATTTTCTCAAAATCTATTTAAATGACGGGATCTCTAAATAATGCTTTTCTTGAGAGTTCTGAATAATTTGAAATCTTGAAAATCAAAGTATTATCCAAATAGTAGTCAAAGTAAGGACCTTTGAAGTCCCGCAAATGATTATAAATTTCATTTCATAAAAAACAGAAAATCCAATAGATACTAGTCGAAAAAAGTAAATATATCTTAGAAAACTATTTTATGAAACATACATGTAATTGGTATGATTTGGTTTAGTTTATCTGATTGTGACAAAGAACTCGAAAGCTATTTGCCTAAGAGAAGGGATGCCTTCGTGGAGGACTTTCTAAGGCGAACTGGTTCATATATACTGAGCGCCGCCTGAGAAAACCACTGACCTGACTTTGTTGTAAAAGTCTTACAGTGTTAATAGTCATCCTGGCAGAAGGGATTATTTCTTCCGTATAAAAATATAAATATAATTATTACATGGGCATACAAGGCCTGTGTATAAGCATAGATATGTTAATCACAAATATTGTCTCGTACAAGTTACATGTGATAGCTACATGACAGTTATGGGAACATTTAAACATTATCTGAATTCATATTTACTTTACTTTTACTGAGATAATCAAAGTAAACTTGTAATTCATTTACACATTGACTGGATTTTTAATGTCATTTTAAACTGCTTTACAATATTATTTTTATCAAGTACATACAAACTGGATAATAATATGCTTATATTACAATAGTTTTGCTCTTACAGTTTTGCTGTTACTATTCTATGGGGTGAGCTATTTTTCTAGTATTTATTTTCAGTTGTTGTAGTATTTTAATCTGCTATTAAAATTATGATGCGAAGATACACTTTTCAAGGGAGGGGGGAGAATTTTTTAGTACTTTGCTAAGCATAGTCTGATCACCTACTCTATCTTAGTTTTTGTCTGCTTTTTGCCGCAGGTATTCTCCGTAGGTTCGTATATACTGTACAAATGAGGAAAACCACGAAAATGCCTATACAGCCAACCCGATCTCCGGAATTCGAGCCTCGGATTGAACTACCAGTGTTCAGTGGCTTTACCGCTCGGCTGCTGGTGGGCGAGACATACATGGGAGATATGATTTGATACATATATAGAAAGGAAAATTAATTAATAATTATCATTAATATCGCACAAAATGCTGAAAAAATTATAAAATAAGCAAGAAAGATATGAATTACATAGAAATATAATCTTCTCACATTAACAAATTTACTAACTGTAATGTACAAAATAAAACAAAACTCATAGAAATTAAACAGCTGAAAATTCTTTGGTCTTTGACAAAGAACATCCGAAAGAATTATCACCAGAGCTACGTTTCTGAAAAATATCTGAATGAAAAGGAAAACGAAGAAAATTAGATTTAGATAAAATAATTAAAATAATTTAAAATTTTAAAATATTTGAATGAGAATACATCAGAACAAAACAAAAGCTTTTAAGAAGTATGTAGAGTATTTGTATTGATAAGACGATTTTATCTTTAGAGAGCCCTTGCTTTTTAATATTATTTATATGCGTTTTTACTCTCACTTTCAATACAATCACACTTTTAAATCTGGAACCATTTTCCCTGTTATAAAAACGGAACGCTGTAACATTATGTATAATGAATATTAAACGAATTTTATTGAATTGCATTATTTAATTTAGATAAACCACCGAATGCCTCTTTGAAACATATGAAATTAAGCGTAAAATATGTTGCTCAGGGTTGCTCCACGAAAACGTAGATCGCCTGCAATATCGGTTCCAAGATCTTTGCAGGAAATCTTCTCTGTCTGCTGGATGTCCATTTGTCTGGCAGCGTCCGCAAAAAAGGGTAATATTCCACATTTATTACGCCTTCGTATTCACTCCTTCTGCGCATATTGCGCAAGGAGGTGAGAACTAACTTCCTACCTCCATGATATTGCGTCAGAAAGATGGTATTCACCTCGTCATGTTATCGTCGAAGGCGGACTGTTTTTTTTTTCGAGGACTATCTTGTATTATGATATATTACTATATGTATGCATTATGATAGATTACGATATGTATGATGTATTACTATATGATACGACGCATTACTATATGTTATGATATATTACTATATGAATTATAATATATTACATTATATGATATATTACTATATTTATCATATATCACTAAGTGATTATGATATTTGTTCTGATATATTACCATACGCTACTTGATATAGTTTTAAAAAATCTTTGCTTAAAAAGGTAGATAATTTTTCTATGAGATAAAAATGCAAGAAATTTCTAGATATATTGTGAAATGTTATTATATTTATAATGAAGGTTTGATACGCAGGGTGTCTACAAAAACTTAGTCTTTATTTTCGCAACTTTTGTAGTAGATATACATTTTCAACTCAAATATTCAAATACAGATATTCAGTACGAAACTCAAATATTCATATTTTGGCATTTTTTAATTTAAAGATATATATTTTGTAAAAATTACGAAATACACTTTTGTACATTTATTCGTCTGGTAACCTATATTTATACTTACGAAAATTTTGTACTCGTTGCAAAAAATAAAGCAAATGAATGTGATTCCCGAAAGGCGCAATATGATCGAGGTATTTAATTTCAAATTTTGAGAATTTTGACTTCATTTTGAATTTGAATTGAGAAATCGGTTAATAAATAAATTGGAATAATTTGAGGTTTATTTTACTTCCCTTAAATGCCATTCAGTGAAATGCTGTGGTGGTTTACCGGCGTCTTTAATTTATAACATTATTACATTAGCTACGTCAAAAGAATTTTCACATAAGTAATTTATAAGTTTTCAAAGCGTGAAAATACGTCATTAATATTCTCATGAAGTTTTAAATATTACTTTAGATTCACAATGTTGATATTGTACAAAACATTAATTAAACTATAAATATAATATTATACTGAATATTGATTAAAGGCCATTACTGAAGCTGCCAGTGTTTTCTAGAAAATGTTTTCTGTAAGTTTTTGTGAATAAGATCTTCATTTAAAAAATATATTGATTACTGTTTTTCACAATATTTTGCAAAGAAATGCTCAGTAATTAACCTCTTAACATCAAAAACTTTTTTCTAAATTGATATTTTATATGGTTATGCACACATGCAAATATATTGCTCTTCAGTTTGTTTACAGGTTTCTAATATGATATGCAGTTTTAATATCAAATTTCTCTGTCAAAGTTTATCGTACGAAACTCAAATATTTTTTGTTTTGCTTTTTATAACGAGTACAAAATTTTGCTGAGTATAAGAATAGGAATAGAAAGAATATTTGATAAATTTTACAAAATTGATGTCTTAAATTCAAAAATGCCAAAATATGAATATTTGCTTCATTTAAAATACTTTTGTAATTGCAAGTACAAGCCTACGACCAACGGTTGGCAAAATAAAGGCCGGGTAAGGACATAGTTGAAAGTGTACATATGCGCAGTAAGTATAACCGTTAAACTACAAATCTTATCTTTTCGATATATTTAAACAAAGAAACTGTAGAGGCATTAGGTTATTTTGAAGCAGGAGACATGAAAAATATGGAATGCCTTCGCCGGGACTTGAACTTCGGACCTCTCGAATACGCACTCAGCGTTTCTGACCATTACACCACAGGGCATGCTAAGAAGGGGGAAGATATACCTTATATACTCCCCTTTTTAAAGGGCGACTAAGCATTAGGGGACCCCGTGGCCAAATCCTGGTGGTGGAGAATCATCATCCACCACCTTTTTTAGTTCGGGCGCCACTGTAGAAACATTATGTCATTTTGAAGCAGAAGACATAAAAAATATGCAATGCTCTTGCCGGGATTCGAACCTCGGATCTCTCGAATACGCACCGTGTGTTCTGACCATTACACCACGTAGTTAGAAAAGATACTCATTATTCGAAAATGTTGGCAATCACACCGTTTAAATATATAGAAAGTAAGAGAGAGAGAGGAAATTAAAACCAAAGTAGAAGCAAAACACGTCAGCATAGAGAATAAAATTGGGGAAAGCAATAATTTGTATTTGGCGTAGATTTCAGTCAAGACTCTACCAGTTTAGCTAGTAAACAGATGCAGGTGGTCCCTCTTCATCAGGAGCAAAGAAATCTGCAAAGAAGGCCCGCAAAAGAAGTAAAGAGAACAAGAAG